GAATCTTAGGGAAGTTTATGGGATCCTCAGGGAATGGATACATACTGATGTCAAAAAGCACTACATGATTGTATGTTCATAGTCCAAATGGCTGTGGACTACAGTTAAGGAGAGGACTCGCCAAACAGCAGCAATTTTGCAGAACTTCTATATACAGAAGAATGCAAAGTATGGAAGAAAGAGCCAACTTTGGAAGAGGAGCCAAGCAGCAGTCAGGGAGGGAATCCAAAGGGCACAAGCACTAGGGCTGAGGTACACTACAGACCCTCCGTAGCCTTCTTTAGCCCATAAACTCCCATCCAAGTAATCAACCTTGACCCGGGTGATAGCCACAACTTCTTCATATCTCCCCAACTCCTCAAAGCCTGGCAGTCCCAAAAAAGTGAGAGAAAGGGAAAATACTGCATATTTCCCAGAGGATTTAAAGGGCAGGTATGCAGCATCAAAGGAACATTTCACCCCAATACTCCACCCAGTCAAATTAATATTTTCAGCGCTGACTAAAGAAACGTTGCAGGAACACTGTCACCAAAATTAGGTTATAGACTTTACCTACATTATTAGCAAGGGAAGTGGAGGGAAGAGGGGAGAGAGCTTCTATTTTTCTCTTCAGTTCAGAAAACTCAATAGCTGAAAAACACTGTCATCAGACTCTTTTACATCATTATAGACAATCTTTAGAGTCCTTGTGCTGCTCTCAGGGGGTATTTCTATCTCCTCATGAAGCACCAGGGAATGAGGTTTAGTATCATACTACAAACAGGTTATTTTGGAATGTTCATTAGAAAGATTTTGCTTGGTCTGAAGAAGCCAACTCCACAATTAGAAATCTGCTATAACATAAGGAAGGGCCAGTCTACGCAGAAATACAATACCATTGCATGGGTTTGTGCAAACTGTTCTACTGCAGGGATAAATACATTGGAATGTCTTTTTATCCAAAATGTGAATGCTGAGCTAATTTCATTTCTATGACTACACTGAAATTCCAAATGTGAGTAGTCTTGAAGAATATGGAGGGCACTGTGACTTTTTTTGTATTGTCACTTCTTACCATAACACGATTCAGAGGCTGCTCTCCATTGCAGAGACTACTTTGAGTATCTGAGCTCAGGTTAATGATGGTATTCAGTAGAATGGTGGGATTTTCTCCTGCAGCATCAGCTAATCAGTTCCGTGAACGTCATCAAGGAAAGTATCACTGAGTTTTATGTATAATCACAAAAGGAGGTTATTGGAAGAGTCCCAGTTATCGTGAGCTGGAAGATGCCTATTGTTTTACTCATTTCCCAGCCTAATACCGGCTCACTACTTGTCTTTCATGAATCAACATGGAGGAAGGAGAATTATCTTCTTCTGTGCTATTTTATTTGATCAATGTTCATTTATAGCCACAGAGACTTTGGCCCAAAGTTCCCAAAGAAGATATTTTATCCTATAACATACGTGCAGTCTTCATAAAATCATTCTCAACAGACTCAGCATAGGAAGCAGGGTACAGGAAGCCAGAGGTGTTAGGCATAAAAAGGCTCTTTGGAAACGTACCCTTTCTCCTTAAGGAAGAGGATAGTGTGAGCCTCTAATAGTTACTCTTAAAAGCTTCCTAAATCAAGGTTTGAATAATGCTAGTCATTAAACTCATAGTCTTTGTCTAAAAATACTACACCTTGGTCTGAAGGAATGGCATGATTTGGAAGCCAATATTCAACTTAAATTTCTGCTTTGCTTAATTTCAAATTCCTATTTATGCTTCCTTATACCTCTTGCTCGCCATTATTTTTGCCTTTCATTTGTCAGCAGGTCACTATAGATACCCTTTCTTCGTGCTCTATCTTAGTCAATCTATTTAACTGTTAAATCTATTTATTTAAAGTTAAATCCGTTTATCTTACCCTCTAAATCCCTCCCTACATAGCTCAGTCATTTCTGTTGCTCTGCTTTGAACACCTTTAGATTTTCCTGTGAGGTAGTTTTCCTGTAGTGTGGTGTCCAGCACCAGTGTACAAAGCATCCCTCAGGCATTCAGAACAGAAATGTATCTAGGAGGATAATTTGTGCACTTTCAGTAGCAAAACCCCTTTTCATGAATTCTGAATGTTAGCCTCCTCTTATCTTCCCCTGAAGTTGAAGGAGCAAGGGTAGGAGGAGGTTTCCTGAGAAACTTGGGCTTTGCTCACAAGCCTCTGTCAGTGTTCTGGACGAAAGCAGCTTAAGGGGTAACTGGGCCCTAATTAAGCATCACTTCTGAGGCATAAATAGAGATCTCTCACTTGCTGGAATGAAGACATTTAAAAAAACTTAATAATTCTTTATGTTGTCTTCTTCTCCTTCCTCTTTCTACCAAGTGACAGCATTGTCCTTACTTCTCCATTGCAAATCCATGAGGCAACATACAGCAAAAGCAGGAGTCGCTCAAAAGGACTCTGAGAAATGCTGGCAGAGATCCTCTCCAGCTAGCACATCAGAGGGTCAGCAAGAATGAAGAATTAATTACAGTCAGAATTTCAGTCTTTGAGCAAATGGCCTACTTAGACAGGAAGTGCACACACAGATGAAGTGCAAAGAAGTTCCTTCTGTAACTAAAGCTCTTTGCTTCTTATATCTGGAGAAAGGGCACCCTCAAATGAGTCATCAAAGACTCTCTTAGACCATAACACAACTCAGCCTGTAGACACCCCAGGCATCTGACCAATAAATCCTAACAATTTCTCAGGCTACGGACGGGTACCTATTACACAGGAAGGGGATCGCCGCAGACCTTAGGAGGTGTCTACAGCTTGCTGTGATGACTGTTTTCCTATTCCCTACAGCAGGGTCAGTGAAGACCATGCAGAAAATTACATTTGCCCATGCACCATATTGTCTGCCAAGAGCTGCTTGGAATAAACAAGGGCAGTTTTGGTGCATGACCACATTGCTCCTTCCTGTCTCCAGGCCACAGCTGAGTAAATAGTGTTCAATGCTGCATGATGAAGAAAGAAAGAAAAGAAGAAAGGTACGAGTCAGAATGAGTGAAAACTGGAATCCACAACTGCTACTTTGGTTGCTACCACAAATTACTGTATCTCAAGTTCCAGTAACAAATGAAGCAAATCACAGAGTTTAAACCTGACCCCATAGCACAGGGCAGTGAGCTATAAGCACTCTACCGTACTCTCACAGCAGAACAAACTTGGCCATACCGTGCGCTCAAGGGTGGAGAGAGACAGATTGCAATCTGCATGTTAACCATGTTCACATACAGCTGAACATAACACTTTGTCCTTCTTCGGCAAAATGGCTAATCTATAAATTCCAAAGTGATTTTAAAACAGCAGCCCACTGAAAAGGAGCTGGGAGGCTTAACAGAGTAAGTACAGAAAACATAGATGGTACGGCCACAGTTGCAGAGGAAGCACTTCAACTGTTCAGTCACAGTTTTTGCTGTT